CTTGTGGTAGGTGTACCACCCGCTCCCATTTTATAATATTTTGTGGTAGGCATACCACCTGCTCCCATTTTATTATATCTTCTGGTAGGCGTACCACCCGCTCCCGCTCCCAGTTACAAGCCAACAATAATCACAAGGAATCCCGATAAGGGAACAAGAGCAATATAACAACTTTCCGGCAAGGGAACAATGATATTTCAACAACATCCCGGCAAGGAAACAATACTATCAAAACAATATCCCGGCAAGGGAACAATACTATCAAAACAAACATCCCGGCAAGGGAACAATAATATCAAACAAACATCCCGATAAGGGAACAATGGTGATAGTAACATATGAAGCTCAATAAACCACAACAGAGTCATAACAATTATAATACAAGACTCACAGGCATGCTTGACACCAACGTATAAATACTCGTCACCATGCCTATACGTCGTACTCCACAATTAACATGTACCAATTAAGACACAACTCCTAATCCCCCAAGCTAAGGTTAGACCAAACACTTACCTCGCTTTGCAACCAATTCAAAATTCCAACAAGCCTTTGCCTCGTGAATTCGTGCCTGAAATTCTCAAATCACATCAAATAATGCTAAAATCGTGAATCACACCCCAATTCAAGCCTAATGAAATTAAGAACGTCCAACTTCTATATTCGATGCAAAAACCTATCAAATCAAGTCCGATTGACTTCAAATTTTGCACACAAGTCATAAATGACATAACAAAGCTATGAAAATTTTCAGAACTGGATTCCGACCCCGATATCAAAAAGCCAAATCTCCGGTCAAACTTAAGAAATATTTAACCTTAGATTTCTAGATTCCGTTAAATGACGATAATTTGATCTAAGGACCTCCAAATTCGATTTCGGGCATATGACCAAGTCCCAAATCACGATACGGAATTACCGGAATGGTCAAAGTTTGCCCAAAATGTTGACCAAAGTCAACTCAGTTGAGTTTTAAAGCTCTAGTTCACGATTTAATCCATTTTTCACATAAGAACCTTCCAGAAAATTATACGGACTGCGCACGCAAGTCGAGGATTTATTGATAGCGCTTTTCAAGGTCTTAAAATATCGAGATAATTATTTAAATTAAAGATGACATTTTGGGTCATCACATGTTAACACACCTACAAAACCAATAACTTTTCTACAAACTCTACTATCCAATAAATATCTATCACCAACACTAACCAATCAACAAAATACAATAACTACAGCTGATCTCTCTATGAAATCATCCAAAACACTATAGATGAAGACATTTTTATTCCAATTAGTGCCACTGATAAATCACGCTTGTATGAACCTTGGAAATACTTGGTAATAATAAAGTTATTTGGAAGGAGGATTGCCCATCATATTCTAAGGAACAAGCTCCTAGATCTATGGAAGCCAACTAAAGACCTCCCTATTATTGATCTGGGGTCTGACTTTTTTCTTATCAAATTTCAAAAAGAAGAGAATATGATTAAGGCTCTTCACGGCGGACCATGGTTCATATTGAGCCATTTTTTGTTAGTTCGAAGGTGGGAACCCAAATTCATAGCATCATCTTTAAAGCTAGCTTACTCGGTTATTTGGGTTAGGTTTCCTGAACTTCCTACTGAATTCTATGATTTGGAAATACTACAAAGGGTTGGGTCGAAATTGGAGCAATTATTAAAGATAGAGACATGCACCTCAACAACTACAAGGGGAAGATATGCACGTATTTGCATTGAAGTACTCTTAGAAAAACCTTTAAAAACTCATATCCCCATAGGCCATCACGGGCAAAATCTTCTCTATAAGGGGCTTAACTTACTCTGCACGAGTTGTGAACGATCTGGTCATGCAAAACCTAATTGTTTTTTTGTTGCACATTCCTCACTGGAACAAAGTATAAAAAATCAGGCTGCAACATCCTCTACAATACTAAACACTGACCAAACACATGAGAGTGACTGGAAAACGGTCACCTTTGCAAGGAGATCAAACTACGCATACAAGAACTCCACAACCACCACAAGCAAAGCGGCTACAGTAGCAGCGCAACCACAAGAGCAACCTATGTCAGGTAAGTATTCTAACCCTACTAGGCCACACTTGGGCCGGCTACCCTTGACTAACCCACACATGCTTGCTAAGCCCAATAAGGAATTCACTAATAAATTTGATACCTTAGCGGACTATGGGCTAACTATGAGAGGGGCTAATCAAATATGTACAAGCCCAATACAAGTTGGCCCAACTGGGGAATGTGTATCACATACAATAGAGATACCAATGTTGCAGCCCACTCTTGACCAATCAAGACAGATCATAGCCTCACAGCCCTCTTTACCCAATAAAATTATTGTCCACCCTAAGACTATATTACTTGATTCACAGTCCCACTCTTTAACATACTTAAATGACCCAAACATGTTTCCTAAGGAAGCACAGACACATCAGTTGCCTTCTCCATGTAGCAGCATACTCACCTCCCAAGACCAATCCCTAATAGACAAATCCCAATTGAATACACCCCACTCAGCCACGTCCCTATTAACAATAAGCCAAAATAAAGATATTTTGCATGCTACAGTACCCTATAATATTCAAGACCATAGGTCTACTCAAGATCCATGCAAACACAATGATTGCAAAACATGTAAAGACCTACACGGCACTACTTACCATCCTAACAATCCACTATTTTCTTCAACACATGCACACTTTGAGTCCTTAATAGACAACTATAACAACTCTTCTCAAATCATCACTCATAGACAGAATAATTTTGATATCATCAACAATGCAGAGGCCCTCTTTTCCGACCAACAACCAAAATATGTCTCTAAGAAAGAATATACAAAACAACCAGTTTTTCCACCTCCCAAGGCTAACCATGCAGGGGCCACAACTGCCACATATCTCAACTCCGCTGATCTACACTTCTCAGTCGATGATAATGGATAAACCCTCCAATCTTGGTTGGAGATGGGCTTGCAAGGTTATGCACTGATCTTCACCATGGAGATGAACAATCAGGAGGTTGTTCTCCTAGTTCAAAACCCTACGCACTTGGCAGAGATAGTGGCAGAAGGAATGAGACTAGGCATGGAGGCCTACACTCAGAACCAGTGGTTTACCACACAGACTCCTCTTATGCTGGAGCACCAAGCATCAACTTCAACTCAACAACAGTGGTCTTACCCAATGAGTCTAATGAACTTGCATGGGAACCCAATATAGCACATTGGCATATGTCAATGTTAGGAAGGAAAAAAGGAATAAAGAAGTAGGTTATAGGTTAGGAAGTAAAGGGTAAAATAAAATTATAAGTAATAAGTTAGGGCATAATTGAAAAGAAAAATAAGAAACAATACCACCACACCAAATTGGTTGTTTCAGAAAATGGAACTTTTCATTGCTCCGGAACAACGGATTTAACAATACAATACAACCAATTTTAATTAAACAATCAAAACAAATATTATTTTGGGATAACAATACAATACGATACAATGGGCGACAACCATCCAAACAAGTTGTTAATGTTTCAATTCCTTTTTAAAACTTGAGTAATTACAAGCTGATTTTTGAAAAAATTTGGTATTATATTAAGGACTTACGTAGCAAATTTTGTTTTAACTTGAAAAAGTCTCTTGGGCTTACGGCTCACTACAAAAACGCGCCTCAACGCATAGACATACGCCCTGAATATAATTGTTGGGTGTACGCCTCTTGTGACTTTCACCCTCTACCATCACTTTGGGGCATTTTTTGTGCGCCTCGCCCCAAAGCTCGCCCCGAAAATACCTTTTAATACACTAGTTTCTACTACTATTCTCTCCGTCCAAAAAAAGATGATACTTTGTCAATCGATTCATTTAAAAACTAATTACGGACAATCATGCATAAAAAGTGAGATTAATATCCTGAAATTAGTCCTCATGTTTCTACTACTACTCTCTGCATCCAAAAAAGATGATACTTTTCTAATGATCATACTTTTTTTGACGGAAGAAGTATAAAAGTACTTAAAATACATTAATAGTGGAAAATATCATGACACTGTAATTGTATACGAGTTAAAATAAATACATGTACAAGAAAATGTGCGCGTATTTCTACCTTCAATTGTAATTCTCTATGGGCTGCAAACATGCCGCTGGCTTTTCGATGATGAGAAATTGTCACTTGACTTCTTGACCCTGCGGCAACAGAAACTATATTACATAAAATAAAGTTTTGAGGAATTAATTCTAATGTTGAAGCTTGAAACTCAATGAATGAGATGCAATATTATGTGTTAGTTATGGAACCTTGTGAAACTGCAGCTGAAGAAAGTAAGATAAAGAAGAGTATGCAATGACAATGTAGTTTTATGTTGACCATTCTGGACATAATTAATATGGGAATTAAGTTTTAGGATTGAAAAAAATGGCAAATCAAATTTTTGAAGGATATGATAGGAAGAAGAGACGGAGGAATTGATATGATTGTGGCTGAATATATAAGTGGTCGTGTAACACGGACTAAATTATCCCGGAATTCCCGGTACTAATTTATACTACATGAGAGATGAGATAAAATAATCCCACATTTGATGGGATAAGATGGGATATCCTAGATTAAATCTAGGATTAAATTTATACCTTGTTTGGTTGGAGATATAAATTTATAACAGTATAAATTTAATCTTACGCCTTATCCCACCTTATCACTCATCCCAAATGACCCCTAAGGGCTAGATATGGACTATAACTTCTGTATATTTATATTATATCAGATTATTTAAATAATTATTATAGGTAACTGTATTGATTAAATATTACTCCCTCTGGTCTACTTTAAGTAATTTTTTAGCCTATTTTGTGGTTTACAATATTTGTTTTTTTAGATATCAAGAAAGAATTAACTTCTTCTTTCCAAAGTTACCTCACAGTAAAGAATCTAGGAGCAGTTTGTTATATTTCCAATGAGCAATTAAGATTAATATAGTTCCTCTTCGCCTCTATGTCTGTCAGCGCTCCTTCTCCCGTTTAACTTATCTGCAGGCCCATATTCAAAAAGATTTACACACCATCTGAAAAATAAAAATAAAACAAAGACAAAGAAGATCAGCAGAGTAGTATGACATAAATACCTTACTATCTGGGTGATAAAATGAAGAGTTATTAAGTATTACAGCATATAACAGTCCTGAAATTGCAAAATTAACAAGTAGGTGGAGCACCCAGGAAAGCGTGCAATTTCAAAACTCAGCAAGGTTTCAATTGCAAAATTAAAAATCATGAAAAGAACCCAAAATAGAAAAAGAGAAGGGAAAGGGATTTGGGAAAAATCAGAGAAACCTGCAATAGCGTCAAAAATACAAAGGGGAAAAAAGATGAAAAAAATGAGAGAAAAAGATATATATATATATATATATATATATATATATATATATATCAGGAACCATTAAATTTCAAAGCTAACAATAATGACCCAAAGAAGCAAGAAAAAAGGAGGAAAAAAAGTACCTGCAGCTGATAAGACAAACAGGGAGAAGCCGTGAATTCAAATGCATTAATGAAAAATTATAAAAATACAGCTGGAGTCACGTATAAATTACACGTAACAATTATCCAAGGAAAATCCAATTCTCTTTTTACAATTCAATAAAATGAAGCTCAATCTTTTAGAAATTCACTTACTAATCTGATCTGATTTAAGTAATTCAAACCGTCAATAAGATTACAAATATTTCTAAGTACAGCATGCTTTTGGGTCCTAGACTACCCGGACAATAGCATAATAGTAGCTACGCACGGACTCTCGTCACCTTGTGCGTACGTATCCCCCACAAATAGGAGCACATAACCAATTAACTCACTTATGGGGACAATTCCCTCTTACACGGTTAGAAAGGAGACTCACCTCGCATGGAAGATCCATAACCGACATTTCCACGCCCTTCCGAAGACCCGAATCGATGCTAAATGCTCAAAAGCTAGCCAATAATTATGCAAATCCATTAATATATGCTTAATTACTCATTACAATCCAATTTATAGCAATTCCTTACCCTGATCGAAAAGTTAACAAAAACGCCCTTGGGCCCACGTGCCTGGATTCCAAAAAATTTCGAAGGATAATTTTACCCATAACCTCACGAACTCATATATATAATTTACTCTAAATTTCATACCCAAAATCGTGGTCAAATTCCAAGAATATCAATTTTCTAGGTTTTCCCTCAAACTCCAAGTTTCTACCAATTTCATGCTCAAATCCGTACATAATCAATGTATTTAACTCAAGATAGGTAGGGATAGCTTACCTTATCGTTGATGATGAAAATCCCCTCTTGAAACCCTCCAAGAATCGCCCAAGCCAAGAAAATATGAGAGAAAATGGTCAAATCCCAATTTTTAAAACGCTCACTGCGGTTACAATATCGCTTATGCGGTCCTCCTCCTGCTGCCCCAGCCCGTTTCTGCGCCGCACCGGCCACATCTGCGATCTCGTAGGTGCGGGATTTCCTTCGCACCTGCGGCCTCTGATCCCTTCACTTCTAACCGCTTCTGCGGCACGACGACCGCTCATGCGACCCTAGCCTCGCAGGTGCGGTTACACCAGCAACCAGCAACTTCAGCCTTCTCCAAAATTCTAATTTCGATCCGTTATCCACCCGGAATCCACCCGAGGCCCCTGGGACCCCAACCAATCATACAAACCAATCCCAAAACACATTACAGACTTGCTCGAGACCTTAAATCATATCAAACAATGCTAAAATCACGAATCGGCCTCCAATCCAAAAATCCAAGCTTTATGAACTTTAGAACTTCAAACTTCTACTTTCGAAGTTTAAACCTAGCAAATCATGTCCAATTGACCTCAAATTTTGCACACAAGTTATGTTCGACATTGCGGACCAACTCCAACTTTCAGAATCGAATTCCGACCCCGACGTCAAAAAGTTAACTTCCGGTCAAACTTCTCAAAAACCTTCAAATTTTTATCTTTAGCCAAATGACTCCAAAATGACCTAGGGGCCTCCGAACTCCCTTCCGATCGCGCTCCCAACTCCAGAATAACCATACAGAACTACTCCCAGACTCGGAATCTCAAACGGACATCGATAACACTGAAATGCACTTCAACCCAAACTTATGAAATTTCTTCCAAAATGCTAACTTCCACAATAGGCGCCAAAACGCTCCCGGGTCATCCAAAACCCGATCCGGGTATATGCCCAAGTCCGAAATCATCATACGAACCTACTGGAACCTTGAGATCCCGATTCCGAGTTCGTTTACTCTGAAATCCAATCTTAGTCAATTCTTTCAACTTAAAACTTTCGAAATGAGAATTCCCTTTCCAAATCAACTCCGACTTCCCCGGAATTCAATTCCGACCATGCGTACAAGTCATAATACCTGAAGTGAAGCTGCTCATGGCCTCAAACTGTTAAATGACGCGCTAGAGCTCAAAACGACAGTCGGGTCGTTACAATTATAGCGATCTAAATATGTCCCGTAGTATCATGTTTGTGGTTCTTCTTTACTTCACACAGTTGGTTTGTTTTTGAAAGAAACAGAAAATGCTTTCAAATGAGTAGAACATCATTTTGATCTTTCCTTGATTTTTTCCCGTACTTTGGTACAAAATATAAATAGTATGGATCAAATGCTAGATTCTATTAGCTTTTATCAATAGCTATAACCAGAGTGTGCTTTTGCTTATTTACACCACACTGAAGATTTGATTGAAGGATATCATTGTTGATCCAGAGTCCAATCTTCACTACGATAACATGCTTTTCACTCAGATCGATGCCGTTCATCTACTTTAGCTTCGATTGGGTACAAAAACGTGTGCGTACAGATCTAGGAGACGGGATGGCTGCCAGTAAAAATAGCAGCAGCTCCGGTGGTGGTTCTGGATCTGGTATCGCTGCCACGCCGTCAGCGTCATTGCCCCCAGCAAGTTCATCCTCTGGCTATCTTGCCATTACTTCCTATTCGGTCTAAAGCTAGCACTCGAGTACGGAGCAGAACGAGTCGTCCTACGGTGCGACTCTCAGCTCATTGTCAATCAAGCCACAGGGACTTTCCAAATCAAGGAACAAAGACTCCAAAAATAACATGCCAAGATCTGCAAGCTATTACTCGAGTTCGATGAATGCCAGCTCGACCACATCCCTCGAGCACAAAATATCAAAGCGGACGGCCTAACCAAATTGGTAGTGGCCACTAAAAGCACAACCGGAGAAGGAAACATGGTCACTCCCCTCCACTCGTCAACCGATCAAATCGAGGTAACGAACGATTTCATTTGGTTTTAATTGACTATTTTTCTAAGTGGGATAGAAGCATGAGCAATCTCCTAGATATGCGAACAGGGAACGATCGCCATCATATGTATATAAAAAAAATCCGAAGACGCTAAGAGACCATATAGATTGGGACTGGATTGCTAGCCCGGAAAACAAGTAAATCCCTCTGATATGCATAAGCAAAGCATAAGTGCATGAAGCTCACCCGTATTTTTGCCAAAGCGACGTTGCATCAGTTACACAAGTAACATCGTCCGAATCAACACTCGGCCTCACCCGAGTCAACATTCGACCTCGTCCGAATAAACACTCGGCCTCGTCCAAATCAACACTCGGCCTCGCATCAGTCAACACTCGGCCTCGCCCAAGTCAACACTCGGCCTCGCCCGAGTCAACACTCAGCCTCGCCCCTCGTCCGAGTCAACACTCGGCCTCATCCGAGTCAACATTCGGCCTCATCCGAATCAACACTCGGCCTTGTCCGAATTAACATTCGGCCTCCTCGCCTTTGCCCGAATTGACATTCGGCCTCCTTGCCCGAATCGACATTCGACCTCCTCGCCCGAATTAACATTCTACTTCGCTCGAATTAAGCTCGCATCCAACCTAGTTTGAACTTGATTCAAAGCTAGGCCTCGTTCGAGTTAAATATGGCAATGTTTGACTTCGCCCGGACTAATAAAAAACACTTGATCACGTTTGAATTAATGCCTACCAACAATTCCTTTGAAACCATCAATCGAGGAAAACGTTCAAGAAAAAGAAAGATAGAAACAAGAATAAGCGACAGAAGTAGCATTCCAAATCCAGAAAAGGCATCTTACAAGGGCCGAATTGCCCGTCCAGATCCGAGGACGCAGATGACCTCCTCCGATGCCGCCATCCTAGCCTCGTTGGCCTTCTCCAACTCTACCGTCTTCTCAAATAACTCATCACTCGAGTCATTGGCCCTGGTCGAACTCTACTCAAGTTTAGCCCGTCGGGATACCACTTTGACCCGAAGATCGATACCCTTAGCCGCGATCCACACTAGTCGACCTCCCCATTTGAATTTCTCGAACTACGATTAATGAAGTCCACTCACCGAGCTCGACCAAAAGACGACCTCGATAAGCGGATGTACTAACTGTATGGGTAAAAATTAGATAAGAGAAATTCGACATGCAGAGATAATTGGCTGAGGTCGAGCAGTTATCAATAAGGCCGAGGTCGGGCAGTGATCTATAAGGTCGAGGTCGGGCAGTGATCTATAAGGTCGAGGTCGGGCAGTGATCAATAAGGTCGAGGTCGGGCAGTGATCAATAAGGCCGAGGTCGGGCAGTAATCAATAAGACCGAGGTCGGGCAGTGATCTATAGATGTAACAGCTAGTTTGCTTTGGAATCCTCAAAGGGAACATTCTACTGGATATTCCCTCTAATTGTACTATTTTAAGATTTTTTAGGGATACCCCTTATAAATTGGAAGAGGGGACTTCCCAAAGGGGGCTATCTCTCCCTCTCCCTCTCCTTAAAAAATATGTAAACATACCTCTCTAAAGATATTATAGGATATGTGATCCCACACCCTTCACCGGACCCGAAAAGGGTCTTAAGATTCTTGTATCGGTTTATCATTCTTCTTTATCAAATGAAAGAGGATCCCACCTATTGAGTGAATCTCTTCCTTTATTTATATTTTATTACCATTTATGTTACTTAATGCATCATTTTTCATACTATTACTCGACTATATTTTTTTATTCATGGTGTTCATCTCAGATCTAGAATTAATTATTCCTAACTAAGATTTACCCTCTATCTTCTTATTTAATTAGCTTGACAAAAAGGCCCCATATTTGTTTTTGGTCAAATACCGTCCCCACTATGGAAGCAGTATCTCTTATTAGTTTAGTTCTTTCCATTCGCAACATATACATATTTTCTCCTTCACTTAATTGAACTTAAAATAATAATATATTTGTTATTTAAACAATATAAGATCACCAATTAAGCGAAACTGTGTCTTGAAATTGAGGCTCGTGTCTTGAAGCTGAATCAATGTCCTAAAGTTTCAAAAAGTGTCTTGAAATTTAAAACAGCGTGTCTCTATAGCTCAACTTAGATGTGGCTATGTTTTAAATACTCTGCAAAATGTTGAATATTTTTTAAACAACTACCTTAAAAATGGTTACCGATGCACTTAGCCCGAGAATTTTTCATGAGAAAACTACCCTCTATAGCCCCTCAAAATTTTAATAGCCCATGTTTTGTCCTACTTACAAAAAATGGCCCTTCGGGCCAAACGTATTGCATATAATAGCCGAAAAAATGAGTATGACAACACAAGCGCCTGTAGCTCAGTGGATAGAGCGCATGTTTCCTAAGTTGAAGGTTGTAGGTTCGACCCCTACCTGTGCGATAGAGCAACCCTTTTTTGCCCTTTTAAATGTACTTCTGCCTCTGATAACAATTGAATGAAATATGTAATGCAGGTCAATTGAATGCACACGATGTTAAATTATTAAATTTCATGTGTAGCTTGTTTTCAAGATATGCTATCATGATAGTTTCTTATTTTTATATGATGGAATAATTAAATGATAATGAGGTTTTGCAAGGCCCTTCTCTTCTTTTAAGCTATCGAACTTGAGTGAAGCATGAGCACCAATCTCGGGATTGATTTTCAACCAAATCCAAATTGAGATTTCATCGTGACAGTATTTACAATATTTTACTATGTTAACTTGAGAAGGTGTATATTGAGAAGGTGTTAGTAATCCAACATTATTTTGCAATGTATAAATATTGTATCCTAAGTTCGACAGTGTATCCTTAGTGTATATTGAGCCTATCTCGAGTGTGCTTGTGTATCTAAAGTGTATATATTTGTGTATCCCAAATGTATTTTGTATCGTGAATGTATAATCTGTCAGAACAATGTATCAAAATTGTATATAATGTGTATTTTCTAATATGTAAATATAGTGTATATAAATTATATACAATTTTGTATGTGTAATGTGTGCACACTGTGTATTTGGAGTGTATCATATATTTTTGTATAGTGACAGTCTTTTTTGTATATATATTTTGTATAGTTACATCTATTTTGTATAGTTACATCTATTTTGTATATTTTTTATATAGTGACAGTCTATTTTGTATATTTTTTGTATAGTGACAGTCTATTTTGTGTATTTTTTGTATTTTGTATAGTGACAGATTTTGTATATATTTTATATAATGACGGTCTAGTGTATATAAATTATATAGTGGCAATCTATTTAGTATATTTTTATATAGTGACAGTCTATTTTGTATATATTTTGTATAGTGACGGTCTATTGTATATAAATTGTACAGAGATAGTCTATTTTGTATATTTTTTGTATAATGACAGTTTATTTTGTATATTTTTTATATAGTAACAGTCTATTTAGTATATTTTTTATATAATAATAATAATTTATTTTTGTAATTTTTGTATAGTGACAGTCTATTGTATATAAATTGTAAAGTGACAGTCTATTTTATATAATTTTTGTATAGTGAATGTCTATTTTGTATATATTTGTAATATATCAATATTCAAAAAACAATCTGCTCTCCAATCTAATACAGTCTAAAAATATAATACATGGTCTACCTCTACATTGGACAAAATAACACAATTGAGATTTGCATATGTGATTTTTTGTTTGACAATAATTACAAAAGTGTTAAGAGTGAAAGCTAACTGTGAAGATAAAACAAGAGAATTTGTTAAAACGGGAAGATAAGAATTACCCCAAGAAAATAAAAGGTTGTTAAAACCTAATAAAAAAGCAATGAGAACAGAGAGTGACAAGAATTTAGGAGTGAAACCAGTGAATGATTTTCTATTAGTGGATTCAAAAACATAAAAAGATAAATAAATAGGAAGAAGGAGAGAAGGAAAGCCATCAGATTGAACCCAAGTAGAAACCCAACGACTTGCACCTTTGTAAAAACATAAAAAGGGACGCTTTATCTTGGATGGAAGAACCGAACTTTATCGTGAAATTGAAATCAAAACTCAGTTAGTCTAACCCACTGTGCTCGATCTCGTTGGCTTTAGATCTGGACGGAAACTCAAATACCGGCGACCCTCCATTAAATCTGGCGACTCTTTCTTCTCGTTTTATTTACTGTTTTGGAGATTTTGATATTATAAAAATCTAGATCTGAAAGATGGTTTGCTTGCTAATTTGAATTTCGGTAGATCTGGCCAGTATATAGCTTTTCTGACGACCGTGAAGTTTTCCGGCTAAACCATTTCGGGCCGGAAATTATTTCTCCAGTGAACCTGTGTTTGTTTGTGTATTGTTGTTACTATGAACTTGTTATGCCGGAGATTTAATCTCCTTTGTAAGATCCATTTTTTTTACAGAGTTTGTGGGTCAGATATATAGTTTGGTGGCTAGCCACTAGAATTACTTTTGGGCTATAAAATACATATTATAATTTTGGGCTACCGAATGATATTTGTTTTGCCGGATGGGCTATAAATGAAGTTCTCTCATTTTTCATTTGACAGCTTCATTCGTAGCTATTTATGGGCTGGCCGATCCAACCAATAATATTTGTCATTTGATAGCTTCTGTCTGGCCGGTCCAACCAAGATATTCGTGAGCATTTTAGTTGGGTTGGATGATCATGGAATATTCTAATCAAAATGAATAGTATCACATTATAGTGGAATATGTGCCACTTGCACAAATAATCACTTCTAATATTGCTCTTTAAATTATGATCACAAATTAGAAATTAGTGCAACGTTAGCCTTAGCCAAACTTCAATCTGCTAGTATGAAGTTTGATCTGGTGCAAATTAGTAGTCTTCGAAGTTCGAATTAATGCAACTTGCTAGTTTGAGGTTCGAACTGATGCACCTAAACTTAGACAACTAAGTTTATAAGAAGAGGAGGGAGGCAGAAGAAGAAGCAGGAAAGAAGAGGAAGACGAATAGCCAAAATTAGCTTATTTTGAGAATTGTTTTTTTTTCAAAAGCGTTTTTCTCAAAAGTATTTTGGGTGAAAAACAGTTTGTGTTTGACTAATTAATTTGAAAAATACTGTAGACACTGAAATTTTAACAGATCAAGATAAATCCTAAATTTAAGACAACTCTTGAAATATTAGGAGCCTATTAGGGTTACTTGGTGGCTACTCTACCCAAACCCTAATTCATGCCTATAAATAAGGCTATATGTGTCCTTAAAAGATGATCTCGGTAATTCCATAAACTCTCGGAATGTGCACAAAGAGATCAAATATGAGATCTCCGAAATTCCATGAAACTCTTGGAATATTCATTAAGAGATCAAAGACATGTCAAATATGTCTTGCTTAATGTCCTACGTTCAAGAAATATGATGATAAGGCCCTCGAATCACGCAGAATAAACGGATGGAAGAATCAAGGGATAAACAGAGTTGTAACCTGCAATGTTTATCAATAAAATCCTTTTTTCTTTATAGTTGTTTGTGATTGCAATTTTATTTTTCTCTACATAAATTCGTTGCAAACAAATTGACATGCACAATGGGACAAGTTCTGCCCTTTATCTTTTCCTCCTGCAAATCAAAAACTTCAAGTTTCAAAATTATCTGTTACGACGGTCGGGTACTTCAAGTTTCAGCAAGCCTACACCTCGATAAACCTTGAAGTAGGGGCATTTGAGACACTGAAATTTTAACAGATCAAGATAAATCCTAAATTCAAGACAACTCTTGAAATATTAGGAGCCTATTAGGGTTACTTGGTGGCTACTTTACCCAAACCCTAATTCATGCCTATAAATAAGGCTACATATGTCCTTAAAAGACGATATCGACAATTCCATAAACTCTCGGAATATGCACAAAGAGATCAAATATGAGATCTCCGAAATTCCATGAAACTCTTGGAATATTCATTAAGAGATCAAGGACATGTCAAATATGTCTTGATTAATGTCCTACGTTCGAGAAATATGCTGCTAAGGCACTCGAATCACGTAGAATAAATCGGATGGAAGAATCAAGGGATAAACAGAGTTGTAACCTGCAATGTTTATCAATAAAATCTTTTTTCCTTTATATGTTTGTGATTGCAATTTTATTTTTCTGTGCATACAAGCACTTTTGAGCATCAATTAGTGTTTGCCAAACTTTTAAAAAGTGTTTCTAAGTGTATTTTTTCAAAAAATCGCTTTTGGGGAGAAGTTACTTTTATTCTGCTCCTCCAAAAATGCTTTTGCTTCTACCCAAAAAGCATTTTTTTTCCGAAGCACTTCGACTTTGAAAAAAGGAGCACTATATTTACGTTTGACTTTGGAAAAGCTTGGCCAAATATGCTAGAAGCCGATGTGCCAATAGTGACTAGGTTTGCAATAATTGTTATAAATTTTAGATAAAACCCAGAGAAGTGGCTAAATGGTTAAAATAATCCTATTTTTCTCTGCCAACACATGGGAATGGGATCAACTCTGCCTTCCCCCCTTATCCAATCTCTTCCTCTTTGTAATCGACTCCCAGTCCACACCTTCACCATATGCAGTAACATCAGAACCAATTCACAAGAAAATGGTACTATCCCCAGCTTTGACCTCCACACCCTCTTCGTTCAACCCCTTCTTAACGCTTTCTCATTTTCACCCATTCACGACTTTCCCCATAACTTCCAATGCCAAAAATGTGAACCATTCTTGTTTAATTGTGAAGGCTCAGACTTTAGAATTTTCGGGTTCCTTCTTTGAACGTGGGTTCGGGGGAGATGACGACCCGCCAACTGCTCCCGGGTCGGGCATTACCGCTGTTGAAGATAAAGAGGAGCCCCAGTGCCCTCCTGGCTTGAGGCCATATGAAACTATGGCGGTTTTGAGGCCTGATATGTCTGAAGATGAGCGACTCGCTCTTACCCAGAAGTATGAAGAGGTATGAATATTTGTAGAACAGTTTGTGCACATTACTTAATTTGGGCGTATAGTGTTAAAATTCTTCACACTGTCCGTGCATAAATATATATATGATTTAATGTGTTGACTGTGTTATATATATAGTTCTTGGCTTGCTTAGTTGATGATAAAGAACATTGTAGATTTTCAAGTGCAAGTATAGGCTCAAGATAAGAATGTAATTATCCTCACTTGTATTGAGAATTAGCTGAGGGAAAATGAATGCAGGAATAAAAATAGTAATCCGAAATAGTTTATGCTTTGTTTCCTGTCATTCTGAAGAGATTAACAATAGTGAACACTCAACCATATAGAAGCAGTTCTTTAGTCCTTACAATAGGACTCTTTCACTTACTATTCTTTTTGTTCTTGTGAATAACTCACAAATGATTAGTAAAAATAAGTTCTTTGCTGAAACCATGTCAAAGGTGGACGGTTTAAAGAAGGAAAATTTCGAGCTGTTGATGACTTGAGCACAGGATTCTTAGAGTGCACTCTTCCTTTTTCATTTCCCTCATTGGCATTTAGGCACTGTTGTGAAAAATATGAGCTTTTCAGTCTAATGGTACTTTCTGAATGGAAGTTCATGTTTCATTTAGGGAGAGAGGAGCAAAGCAGTGTAGGGAGGGATTTCCCTTCTGTCTCAACAGTTTATTCACTTATTGGATTATCTAGTCTTGGGTCCTATGGGAAATACATTTTAAGGGAAAAAAGACCTGCTTGGCACGTAATATCTTGATCAACAGATTGCTATTATTGTCGTCATTTTTCCTCTTATCACTATGTTGAAGCTTGTTATTTTAATTTGCCCCTCATTTTCAGAACTACAACAACTTCTATTAGAAAGATAGAGATTTGGTGAAGCATGGGAAAAAAATTACATAGAATTACGCAAAAGGATTACTCAATGGCAACGAACTATGTCTCATCTTTCAGTCAAATGAATGGAAAAAATGTTCTGCAGTGTGTGAAATCCATGATATACCAAGAGAAAAAAGAGGAAACTTTATATGTTGAAATTCTATATCAAAGAAAATCTGAGCATACATCTTCCCCTCCTCCACCATTTCACCTATGTTTTTTCCAAATTTCTTTGCAATTCTACTTTTCAAACATTTACTGTCAAATAGATGCAACAATAAGTGCTAATGTTTCCAATCTATTTGTTTTCTGGCTCAACTGCTCCATTTAACCATACAAAAACTTACTTGAGCCCAACCTACCGGGGTTTGGGAGGGAAGGAAACAAAAAACAACTAGATTTCTGTACCATTTATTCTTTTCCCGAACATGGGAATCTCTTATCCTTGATGCCCTTTATGCACTGATCTCATTTTCTCTGGTTTGGTAATCGCTCTTCAGCCCACCATCACCAAAGTTCTCATAGCCAAGTGATAAGGGTATGACCTGTGTTACTTTCATTTCCCCTTAAGAAACTGAAGTACAACCTATGACAACTGTAGGTCTAACGATAAATCTAAGAAGTGTCTCCTCTCTGAGCCTCGACTACCTCACTCAAAGTCTCCGTCTGCATAAAGTGCGACAAACCTGCTTTTCTTCTTTAGGGCCTCGCAACCTCTTTTTTCCGTCCTCCCTATTCTGATTGACCAGAATAACATTGTTTCTTGCAATCAGTTCTTGACCAGATTCAATATCTCTCACACTCACCTTCATCCTCTCCAAGCAGTTACTATCTAAAGTCAACAACATGCTTAATTAGAACATAACCATTTTGCTTTATCAGATATGTCTTCTTATTTCAGCAATAAGTACCTAATTTGGATTCTTTTTAAGAGAATTTCATCCCGTCAGTATCATTTTGATTTCAGCTCAAGCTTGAATTGGTGTCTAAATTGTTGCTACAATTCTGATCTTTTACACTGCATATAATCTATATATCTATCTTCATGCATCGCAGATTGTTAGTATTTACCTTACAAAGCTATACAAAGTCCTGTGTTTTCTTCCCTTAAGTTCAATTGCACACAAGATGGTCATATTTGAAATAAGGTTCAACCGTTGGGTCTTAGACAAGTGTTTCCAGGTGTTCTCCAATGTCTTTTTGCTTTTCTTTTCCTTGGACAGTTGCTTGTTGCTGGTGGTGGCATGTATGTGGAGGTGTTCAACCGAGGGGTTATTCCCCTTGCCTACAGCATCAGGAGGAAAAATAAAGCTGGAGAAACCAATACTTACTTGGACGGGATCTACTTGCTGTTTACTTACTTTACCAAACCCGAATCCATGACAGCTCTCGAGGCAACACTCAATACTGATGATGATGTTATACGCTCATCCAGCTTCAAAATAAGGAAAAGAAAATACTAGGTAGATTGATTAGTCGATTCATTTAGCGGTGAAAGGGGATGATCGGGAGGAGACAGGTATTACTCATCTCACCTCACTAATGTTATCTTCAGAAATTTTTCGAAGTGATTCAATTTCTAATGTTTGTAAGATTACTGAAAATTGCAAATACTCCAATCCGGCTTCATTGTAATGTGTACATTATTGAGCAGCTGATAGTTCTATCTGAGGCTTGAACACAGTGCATCTATTTTCTTCTAGTTTCTTTGGTGCCAATTTAATATGTTAAGGATTTTAAAGCTTGCCATTTAAAACATGAGAAGTTACATAATCTCCCTCTTCTCTCTCCTTCCGTCCCTCGATCTATGGCTGGTGAAAGGGGGATTTGGTACCTTAGAGTGGCTTGTTTGACTGGTTTATGAAAAAAAAAAAAATGAAGTTGAGAAACTATATTTCTCGTTTGCACCCAAGGGTATAGCCCAACATTCTCTATGTTTGTGAATTGTGATATACCAGACTAAAATAGTACTACTAATTATTTTGATCATTAGTTTTAAAGTATAGTCCCCATTAGCTTTATCGACTAGGTGTATCGGCTGTATAGTAGCTCCATGTCAACTTCATTATAATTAACCAAAACTAAATTATAGTTACGTATAATAGATCATTGACTTTAATTCTTATTAGTAAACAGTGAAAATAGAGTAAGTGCATGTTTTAAATTTTTTTTAAAAAGGGAGAAACTCTCAATTCTTTCTTCAGTTAGAGTATCTGTTTGCCTCCACCTTGATTACATTGCCTTGTTTTGGCTGTGTCGATTACTTATTGAAAAGAATAATTTGTCATCGCTTTATTCATATAATCAGTTTTCTCTTAGTAGAGTTGAAGACAAAACTAGTTTATGGTAGGAACATACAACATCCATTTGCAAAGAAGATAAACGAGTTCAAACTTCATTTAACTTGGATAGTTCGTGCAGTTTCAGATTACACACACACACACATATTACTGTATCATATTACATCTAGGATATTACTGGATTTCAAGGGGGCCAATTTCAGATTGAAAATTCTAGAAAATGTAGCAAGCTCCTGTACTTATCTATAACCAGAGGAGATATATATATACATAGCCTATAGAGTCATATTAGAAGGATACTCTTTTGGACCTCTCTTCACAGCATCTCTAATATACCTCTCTTGTTCTTGAAGATTTGATGGTATTTGGTCATAAACATCTGTAAACAAATCTACCAACGGAGGTTTCTCTTCTTTCTCAGCAACTTGAATTGCTTGCAACACCTACATTAATTAAATAGATAATTAAACAAATAAATACTGTAATAGGTTAGAAGAAAATCAAATAGACATTTTTGAATTTTGAATTTTGAACCTGCTCTCTGATATTTCCCCGGAATTCGAATTCCTCTACATCACTCCACCAACCATTTTTCTGTATCCATTTTCTGAATCTGGCGACTGAGCTTCGTCTTCTCCAGTACTCAATTTCCTCCTTGGATCGGTACTTGGTAGAATCATCAGACGATGCATGGTCGCCCACTCGATAAGCCATGGCCTAACAAGTGTTATATACGTACAAATGAAGTTTTATAAGCAAAGGAATAGTATCTTTATAATACTGCTAAGATGAATAGTAGTCAAGTTCCTGAAAGGGGTCCTAGATCAACGCTAAATTAAAGTTGTCTTCTGACCTATAGGTTATGTGTTCGAGCCAGGAACCAACCACTAATGCTTGGATTATATCATATCTCTTTGGGTGCGGCTCTTCCTCGGTAGACGCGGAACCAAAATTTGAAGCTTACGGGTTCAGTATCTGGTTCTTTTACGTCACTTGATTTTAAATTAATCATTTGTACATATTCCATGAATTTCACAAAACAAATACTTAATTAACCCGTAAGCGAAGGTCTAGCTTCGCCTTTGTTCCTCGGACCCTGTGTGAATACGGGATGCCTTGTGCACCGTGCATGTAGTTTTTATATAGATCCTTGAGATTCAACGTCATTCGTAACTTGAACTATATTTAGTTGTATCACAACATATATATGAGTAACTTGAACTATATTTAGTTGTATCACAACATATATATGAGAGAGATGAATTTCACCTCGACTAATATTGGCCTTTGTTCCTTTATTGCCATTTTACGAGCAGCACGAATAGCACTATAAACTGCAAGAGCATCATTGCCATCCACTCGAATGCTTCGAACTCCATAAGCTTGCCCTTTAATCGCGATTCCATCACCTACATTAAAGAAATATAGGAGAATAAAAGTTAAGTATATGCGGTATTTCGATTATGTTTGGTATAATAAAAGTTATTCTCAGAAAGAAAATACTTCGAAATTGTTCGGCCACAGGGGTGCTAATTGCCCATCCATTATTGCGGCATACAAATATAACAGGAACTTCCAGAACTGCTGCAAGATTCAAAGCAGCATGGAAATCTCCCTGAAAAAAAATTCAACACAAAAGCTCATTAAAATAATATATTATACTGGCCCGTTTGGCCATATTTTTTTTTTTTGGAAATTTCACTTGAAGCTGAATTTCGAAATTTTTCGGAAATTTGAAAAACTCCAAAAAGCTGTTTTCCAAAATTTTCACTTCAAATCACTCATAAAAATTCATAAACAGCTCCAAATTATATTCATGTCCAGACACAACTCTAATTTTCAAATACCATTTTTTACTTTTAAAAAAAATCACATTTTTCCGGAATTTTATAATTATTATGACCAAACGCCCGCTTAATCCAAAATCACCTCACTAGTGGTACCATCTCCAAAATAAGTGACAACACAAGCCTCTTTTGTGTCCATTTTCAGAGAATAAGCCACGCCTACTGCCTGTGGAAGCTGTGTGCTGGAGAAATGAACGTTAATATGCTTAAATTAAATTGCTGGATTTGATGAGATATATATGATCTGAATCATTTGTTTGGAGAAAATTAAAAGGGGCATAGATTCTTACGCTATAGTTGAAGAAACGGTGAAGTAATTGAGCTTGTTAGAACCATAATGTATTGGCATTTGCCTTCCTTTCCCATTGTCACCCTTGTTTCCTAGCAATTGATTGGCAAATTCTTGTAGGGTGAAGCCACGCCATAAGAGAACCCCGGGCTCCCTGTACTGCAAACAATAACAACAACTACACCTCAATCCCAAACTAGTTTCGGGCCTTCCTATATATANGGGTGCTGAGGCATAACATTTTACTTGTCATGTGACGGAACTATGGTCAAGACTATCAAATAGCCGAGCTTAGGGACAATTAAGACAAAAGATAATTCAAATATGTACTGAAGAATCAGTGTCATTTTACTTCTACTATTGTCTAGCCAGGGGCACAGGCACCTTGTTCCAACATCGAAGTTTTTTTAATAATATGCACGTACAAAATAATAATAGTAAATAAAATTAAAAATTAGGTATAAATATAAAAAATGACACTGCTTGCTATTACAGTAACTTATTCATTTGCTTATTTCTTCTAAAATTCTTGGGTGCGCCACTGTATCTAGCTAATTAGTTGTGTGCATTTTATTGTTAGTTTGTGATAGCACAATGAACTGGAGAAATAAGACAGCCAAATAACCTGAGGCAACACAATGTCATCTGAGGTGAGGGCAGCAGCAGAAGCTATGTTTATGACTTCTTCTCCAAGAGTTGTTAAATAAAAGGATAACCTGCCCTGTTTTTTTGCTTCATCGAAAATGCTGTCCATAATTTGAAGGGTAACCATTTTTCTATACATTTTCACTGCTAAATCTTTGCTCACCTACCAAACACAAATCACATTACATGAAAATTAATTTCTACTGGTACTTAACTATTTGCGTGCACTAGAAAAAAATAAATTAAAATGAGTATCATACATATCATTTAACTGTAGTTAAGTGATAAACAGTTATATGAAAGACAATAATGTTCAGCATTCTTTGATTTAGTGTAAATACAACATACAGGTAATTGTTTTACCGAATTGAAATTACCTGCTCGAATACACTGCCTGGAATTGGATAGCCATTTTTGTCAAGAACTCGATAACAAGCTAACCTTGTTTCGGATGATTCAGGAATGAATTTCATTTGAGAAGTAAATGGAATCTTTCCTCCTGGGAAATCCAAGGCCTGGTAATGGAGTATTAACTAGCTAGGAAGATAGGATCATCTAAAATTTCACAGAATGATGAAAATCAACATAATGTTTCTTTCAAACATAAAATAAAACTATCGGGTTAATTTCACTGATGCTCATTCAACTATCTTTTAATTTCACTAAAGTCACTTAACTATTTTTTGTCACTTAAAAGTAATTAAACTTTATCATTATCACTTAAAAGTCATTTTGGCTCAAAACCCTACCATAAATATGACATGGAATAAACTTTAATGAGAAAAATCCAAAAATAAATGCCACATAAGCTTAAATGGATCATACCCACTTTAAATCCATTTCTTCCTTAATTTGATTTGACCCATAACCCAAATGGGTTTCAATAAGGGGAAAACACACACACCCCTAATAAAATTAGATCTTATGATTCTTTTGTGGGGTTTTTATCGTACAAATACAATCTTTCTTTTGTCTAAACAATTGCAATAGGTTGTCTGTAATTGCATGTTCATTGTGAAAATAGACTCTTATTAGCCTTATTATTATTCTTGTATACTTATGATACATTAATATGTTATGTTAGATGAATACAATACTATTTTAATTTCACTAAAAAATTATAAATATGTTATGTGAGTTGGATAGTAGTATTTTAACTTCAGTAGAGCTATAAAACAACTCGGATGGGGCATACAAACAAGATAAGAATTTTTTTAGTATAGAATAATTATAAATGAGCATTATGTAACAGAAAAGGTAAGAATTTTGTAGTATAGGACAATCATTTAAAACTAATGTGAAATTTAAATTTTTTTATTGAAAGTATTTGGGTTATGGGTCAAATCACATTAAGGAAGAAATGGATCTAAAGTGGATATGATCCATTTAAGTTTATGTGGCATTTATTTTTGGATTTTTCTCATTAAAGTTTATGCCATGTCATATTTATGGTAGGGTTTTGAGCCAAAATGACTTTTAAGTGACAATGATAAAGTTTAGTTACTTTTAAGTGACAAAAAATAGTTAAGTGACTTTAGTAAAATTAAAAGATAGTTGAATGATCATCAGTGAAATTAACCCTAAAACTATCCAGGTTTAAAAGCTTGTGAATACAATTATCGCAATATTATCTTAATCAACTTCTTAGCATAAAAAGGAGAGAGAAAAACAAAGAATAAATCCCTTTTGATTGATATTAACATGAATATAATGGTTTGTATACGGTTAAAATCGGGCTTCCCTAATTTTGTATGGCTAACCAAAACCGGGGTGGCAACCCAAGGCTCGGCCCCGCATTACAGCGAACCATGGTACAGAGACGGATTGCTAAGCTCGTGAATCAATGACCGATCAAGATCGAGACCAGCCGTGATCGAGACCGAAGTGGGAAAGAGATCGAGCGAGACCGATAGAAGCCTACTAAGTCGAATAACAGAAAGCCGAGATATACATGATCGGGCAAGGATCATGGCGGAAATCTCAACACATATCGAGTCAGGACCGGTTATTTAGCCAATCATGAGATTTCTTTTCGGATTTAGAATTGTACCATAAGTGAAATTCCTCTACTATATAAAGGGGGTTCAAATCGTTTTATAATCATCATATTCACGCATAAAAAAGCAATATATTACATTTTCTCTTAAGCTCTATTGATTAGTTCATACAACTCAATTGCATACTCATTTGGTTCGAGGGCGATCTAACTCGAGGGCCATAATCGGTCGTTATATTGGTTTGCTTTATACTACTGTTAATTTCTAACATTATTTCTCATATTTCTTAGTTTGTTCAAGTGAAATCACATATCCTTAAAACCACTTATAAGTTTAATTGTTATTCAATTTTAAGAGTAAACAGTTTGGCGCCCACCGTGGGGCTAAGGATAATAGTGATTGCCTGGTACAATTTTCGTAACACACACTATTTTACGCTTGTTCTTTAAAATGTCTTTGATTCCAGGATCAATATGTCAAATTCTCAAGTAGCACCCACACACACAGATAATGGCCTTGGCCTCCACAGTGAGAACGACAACATAGCCGCCCCAGGAAATGGAGTACCTTCAGTCAACCCCGATGGATCCCCAACTGTGGACCCAATCGACGTCAACTCCCATATTGCAATTAATGGGAATTTGGCCGTCGATCCTGAAAATAGTGTCCGCAGAGATGTTCGACCAGCCGATCAGAACACACAGGGCAGTGAAGAAGGCGGGATTAGCCTTTGAATGATATTCGAAATGTTGCAGACTCAACAAGCTGTAATAGCACAACTCCAAAATCAGAACCGTGCACCAAGCAGGATCGAGCTCGAGCCATAGCAAGAAATTATTCATAGAGCCGAATCAATGCCAAAGAGATTAAATGGAGGATAATCGGAGACCAATCCTGCTACCATAAAGATGCCCGAAGAACTGACAAATCAAATCGAGACAGGGAAAAAGAAGATCTAGGAAAATGATAAGAAGGTGGAAACTTATAACTCCAGGGTTGACCAAATCCCGAGGGCACCACCAATATTGAAAGGACTAGATTCCAAAAGGTTTGTGCAAAAACCTTTCCCCCTGAGTGTGGCTCCGAAGCCGATCCCTAAGAAGTTCTGTATGCCCGAGATTCCGAAGTATAATGGGACGACAGATCCAAACGAACACGTCACCTCATACACGTGTGCCATCAAGGGAAATGTTTTGGAAGATGACGAGATTGAATCCGTATTGCTGAAGAAATTCAGGGAGACTCTATCAAAGGGTGCTATGATATGGTATCATAATTTACCACCTAATTCTATTGATTCATTTGCTATGCTTGCAGATTCTTTTGTAAAGGCACACGCTAGAGCCATTAAGGTCGCTACAAGAAAGTCTAACCTTTTCAAGGTAAGGCAGAAAGATAACGAAATGCTCAGGCAGAACGAATGGATTTGCCATCGGTCACTGACGATTGGGATGTTCAAGCTTTTACTCAAGGTCTCAAAGCTCAGAGTTCCATAGCTTCACAGCAGTTAAAGCAGAATTTGATCGAATATCCAGCTGTCACTTGGGCTGATGTACATAATCGGTATCAGTTGAAGATTAGGGTCGAGGATAATCAACTAGGGGTTCCTTCCTGGTCCGTTTATCCAAACAGGTCCATCGACAGAGTTAAAAGGGATATCGATCGGGAACCACGATCGAACAGAGATCGATATCAACCATACAGTAGAGATCGGAGGAAAAATGGGCCCAGACGCAACCCCGTTTGGAATAACAGAAGCAAAGATCGAGGACAGAGCACCCGAGGACTCATGAGTAAGAGTGGTTTCGATAGGGATGTCGGGCCCAAAGAAGCACCTCGATTATCAGAATATAACTTCAACGGAGATGCATCTGCCATTGTATCGGCCATCGGATGTATCAAAGACACCAGATGGCCTCGACCTCTGCAGACCGATCTGGCCCAGAGAAATCCAAACCAAATATGCAAATATCATGGTATCCATGGCCATAAAACAGAAGATTGTAGACAGCTAAGGGATGAAGTAACCCAATTGTTCAATGAGGGGCACCTTCGGGAATTCTTAAGTGATCGGGCCAAGAACCACTTTAAAAACAGAGATTTAAATAGACAGAACAACCAAGAAGATACACAACATGTAATTCACATGATCGTTAGAGGGGTCGATATTCCTCAAGGACCGGTATTTAAACACACCAAGGTGACGATCACAAAGGAAACGCGAACTTGGGACTACTTACCAGAAGAGACCTTGTCTTTCAATGACGAGGATGCAGAAAGGATCAAACAAACTCACAATGACACACTGGTAATATCTGTCCTTATGAGTAAAATTCAAGTTAAACGTGTTTTGATCGATCCAGGTAGCTTGGCCAACATTATTCGATCGAGGGTTGTAGAACAACTCGACCTACAAGATCAAATTGTGCCCCTAGCCCGAGTACTTAATGGCTTCAACATAGCAAGCGAAACCACCAAAGGTGAAATTCTTTTTCCAGTAAACGTGACCGAGTCCATCTAAGAAGCAAAATTCCATCTGATCGAGGGTGACATGAGGTACAACGCCTACTCGGAAGGCCTTAGAACCATAACATGAGGGTAGTACCCTCGACCCTTCAGCAAGTTCTAAAGTTCCCGACATCTGAGGGAGTCAAAACAGTGTACGGGGAGCAGCCCGCCGCCAAGGAGATATTTGCAATCGATGAAGTAATACCGGTGCCGACACTTTTATCAGTAAAGGGATTGGATTCGAAAGGAAAATAAGAAGCCAAATAGAAATCACAGATACCAACCTCGACACAATTAGAGAAGCGGGGGACCGATGAAGATGACGACTATTGGATCCCTCTATCTTTCATAATTCCTGATGACTCCGACGCCACCAAGTCAACGGTCGAAGAGCTGGAACACGTCGCACTAGCCTAACATCAACCCGAATGAAAGGTATACTTGGGCACGAGGCTAACCCCCGAGCTCAGGAAAAAACTTATTCATTTCCTTAAAGCTAACATGAATTGCTTTGCTTGGTCCCACCTTGATATGACAGGGGTCCTGCCGGAAATTACCACTCACAAGCTGAGCCTAGACCCTAAATTCTTCCTGGTGAAGCAAAAAAGAAGGCCCAGTCCTAGATTAAGCATGCCTTCATCAAGGATAAGGTAACCAAATTTCTCAAAATAGGATCCATTCGGGAAGTAAAGTATCCCGAATGGCTAGCAAACATAGTGGTTGTCCCTAAGAAGGGAAACAAACTTAGAATGTGTGTAGATTATAAAGACCTGAATAAAGCATGCCCCAAGGATTCTTTTCGTTTGCCTAATATCGATCACGATTGATGCCATGGCCGGCCACGAGACTCTCAGTTTTCTCGATGCCTATTCCAGGTACAACCAAATACAAATGAACCCGGAAGACCAGGAAAAGACTTCGTTCATCACGAAGTATGGCACCTACTGTTATAATGTAATGCCATTCGGAGTAAAAAATGCTGGTGCAACCTACCAACGCCTAGTAAATCGAATGTCCGAAGAAAAAATAGGAAATCTATGGAATTTTATATTGATGACATGCTAGTTAATTCCCTGCGAGCAGAGGACCATTTAAAGCATTTGCATGAGACCTTTGATATACTGAGGAAGTATAATATGAAGCTCAACCCAGAAAAATGTATGTTCGGGGTTGGCTCGGGCAAGTTTCTTAGCTTTATGGTGTCCAATCGAGGGATCGAGATCAACCCCGATAAAATTAAAGCTACCAAGGATATCACGGTTATAGATAATGTAAAGGCCGTGTAGAGGCTAACGGGGTGCATAACCGCCCTAGGTCGATTCATTTCGAGGTCCTCAAATAGGAGTCACTGTTTTTTCTCACTACCAAAGAAGAAGAACAATTTTGCATGGACTCTAGAATGCCAGCAGGACTTAGAGAAACTAAAGCGGTATTTATCGAGCCCGCCACAACTTCATACCCCGAAAGTGGACGAACAGCTTGGCGGTTTCGGACATAGCGGTAAGTGGAGTCCTAGTCTACGAAGAACAAGGTACGCAATTCCCTGTCTATAATGTTAGTCGGACCTTAGATGAGGCCGAAACTAGATATCCACACTTAGAAAAATTAGCGCTTGCTTTAATAAGCGCCTGTAGGAAACTAAAACCATATTTCCGATGTCACCCAATATGTGTTGTGATAACTTATCCTCTTCAAAATATTTTGCATAAACCCAAACTTTCGGGTCGATTGGCCAAATGGGATGTCAAAATAAGTGGGTACGATATTGAGTATAGACCCTGAACTGCCATCAAGTCTCAAATCTTGGCAGACTTCATGGCTGACTTTGCGCCGGTCCTCGTACCCGAGGTTGAAAAGAACTGCTGATGAAATTGGGTACACCTTCAGGAGTTTGGACCCTTTTTACGGACGATGCTTTGAACGTGAAGAGGTATGGACTAGACATCGTGTTAAAATCACTCATGGGTAATATAGTTAGACAGTCTATCAGAACTATAAAAGTTGCAGGTCTCGAACTAGCTAAAAGTTTGGGAGCGGATATCATAGAGGCCAAGCGTGATTCCTTCCTCATTGTAAACCAAGTTAAGAGGACTTTTGAAGTCCGAGAAGACCAAATGTAGAGATACTTAGATAAACTACATATAACTCTACATCGATTTAAGGAATAGACCTTGCAGTATGTACCTCGAGAATAGAACAGCGGGGCCGACGCTCTTGCCAATCTAGGTTCATCGTTCGAAGACGACGAACTCAACTCGGGGACTGTCATACAACTCATAAGGTTGGTGATCGAAGAAGGCCACACCGAAATAAACTCCACGAGTTTGACCTGGGATTGGAGAAACAAGTACATAGAGTACTTAAAGAACGAGAATCTCCCATTAGATCCAATGGAGTCGAGAGCACTGTGCACAAATGCAGCACAGTTCATTTTGTCCGAAGACGGGATACTATTTAGAAGGATGTTCGATGGATCATTGGCAATATGTTTGGGACCGGGAGATACAGATTACGTCATGCGGGAAGTTCACGACGGCACTTGTAGAAATCATTCTGGTGCCAAATCGTTGGTCCACAAAGTAATCAAAGCAGGGTACTACTGGACCGATATGGAGAAGGATGCAAAGGAGTTCGTTCGAAAATACGACCAATGCCAGAGGTATGCGCCAATGATTCACCAGCCCGGAGAGCAGCTCCATTCGATCTTATCCCCATGGTCGTTCATGAAATGGGGAATGGATATCGTCGACCCTCTTCCATCCACCCCAGGCAAAACTCAGTTTATTTTATTTATGACTGATTATTTTTCTAAGTGGGTTGAAGCACAGGCTTTCGAGAAAGTCAGAGAAAAAGAAGTCATAGACTTCATTTGGGATCACATCATATATCGATTCAGGATGCCCTCCGAGATCATATGTGATAATGGAAAGTAATTCATCGGCAACAAAGTAACTAAATTTCTCGAGGATCACAAGGTCAAAAGATCTTATCGACGCCTTATCATCCCAGTGGGAACGGACAAGCCGAATCGACCAACAAAACCATCATTCAGAATCTTAAGAAGAGATTGACCAATGCCAAAGGGAAGTGGAGAGAGATACTGCCCGAGGTTCTATGGGCGTACCACACAACATCGAAATCCAGTACCAGAGCAACACCGTTCTCATTAGTTTATGGCACCGAATCTCTAATCACGGTCGAAGTCGGAGAACCCATCATCAGATTTTGATATGCAATAGAAGAGTCAAATAATGAGGATATGAATACGAGCCTAGAATTGTTGGACGAAAAACGCGAAGTCGCCCTCGTCCGATTGGCTGCTCAAAAATAGCGGATCGAAAGGTAGTACAATTGAAGAGCCAATTTTCAACATTTTAACATCAGGGACTTGGTGCTAAGAAAGGTCATCCTCAACACCCCAAATCCAAATGAAGGGAAACTAGGTCAGAACTACGAAGGACCGTACAAGGTTCTCAAAATCATCGGAAAAGGATCCTACAAGCTCGGCACAATGAACGACGAACAACTACTGAGCAACTAGAACATATCAAACCTAAAACGGTACTACTTCTAAGGTACGTCCCCTTCCATTTTTATTTATCTTTTAAACTAACTCCTGCAGGTGTTTGATCAGAAACAACAATGGACTCCTCAACACGAAGTATTTAGGTCTGAAAGCACGCGTTACACTCTTTTTCCCTTAGACCGGTTTTGTCCCAAATGGGTTTTCCGACGAGGTTTTTAACGAGGCAACCATTGATGTTGCTAACTTAGAACAAGTCAACAGATCTGAGGCTTCTTTACAATCAACCTCGAATATTGTGGGGCATTACTCTCGAATGACAACTTTTTGTGAGAAAATTACTTCATGGCATCAGGGTCTTGATAGGAAAATTTGTAAGGGAGAAACGGTCAAACGAACCGTGCCTTCATAGTTTTCTCGAGCCCTGGCATAGAACATGTATGCATGTATAATCAATTATAAAGAGAAGTATTTTTCCTTGCCAATATCTCATGCCTTAAAAGAAAATTTCTGCTTTACAATTTCATACTCTCAATCTATTATGTAAACAGGCTCAAGGGTCGATCATAACCAGAGTTCGGATAATTACCCCCATGCTCGGGGATTGCCGTCCGAAAAATAAATTAGACCGACTCATTAAAACTTCAAGCAAGATCGAAGTAAAACATGAAAATAAGCCCAAGGGGCAAATCCCGGACTAAAGAGGCTACGACCAAATTAACACGGTTCAGAGACGTCCAAATTTCGTAACAAAACAGGATTTCGAATTCTTTCATAAACCGATTAAAAGGTCTACCCCAGGCAAAATCATAAAAGGCTTCGATAATATCAAACCTCGAAAACTCTAATGAGTACAAAATTGTTCGAGCTCTCGAACAATTTCTTAGTTCATGCTAAGGCATTACAACCTTTGTGAACATAAATGATAAATAAAGGGAAAACTTTGAAAGCCAAAAAGGGTAGAAAATCCTTATATATATGACTAAAAGATCATTTTACAAAGGCCAGATCAGCCGAATACAAAATTTACAAAGTCCTAAGGGTTACTTTCACTTCGAGATCGAGAGATCATTTTCAACTCGACTAGAAAGCCTAAGGGTTACCTAATTCCGAGTTCGAGCATGTCCTCACTCGATCATTAAGCTTAAGGGCTACATAAACTCAAGTTCGGGTTATCATTCGGAGTCTATCGATTAGAAAAGGTCAAATGTAAGGCCTATTATCGGCCCTTACCTTCCCCAAACCTCGGACCCTCGAACACAACTTCATGATCTTATGCTAAGGCATTTGACCCTTACATGATATAAAAAAAATAGACAACAGATTCATAAGCCATGGAAGGGAAGAAGTTTCATATATTCATCAATATCTTTTTACAAGGGCCATATGGCCCGATTAAGAATTCTTTACAAAGGTCGGATGGCCTCGACGGAAAAACAAAAAATACTAAGTCTAAGCAGCATGGTCCCTACCGGAGGAAGCATCTTTGCCCTCAAAGTCTTCTTCACCAGATCCACTTAAACTCTCGGAGTCCTCCTCGGGAAAAACCAGCTTCCTAGTCTTCGTTTCGTCTGCCCTAGCAGCCTCGATTTCAGCAGATATATCGAAGCTTTGATCACGGGCTCCTTCAAGGGCCTCCCTTCAAGCCTGCCACTTTTCATGATCCACCATGCTCTTAGCCTGCGCTAGGGTGGCTTCATCATCGGCCTTGTATTGGGTCGCATTAGACTGAGCCTTAATATTGGCCGCGGCCGCCTCAGACCTGGCCACCTCGAGCTCTTTGGCCAAGTTGGCCAAATGGGATTCAAGATCATCGACCTTCTTTGCCTGAACCAAGGCATTCTCTCTTGCATACCGAAGCTGAGACTCGGCCGAATCCAGCTCTGCTTGAACGACCTCCTTTTGTGCAGCCAAAATGTCCATACACTTTTAGCCTCAGCTCGTACTTTATCTATTTGCCTTTGGAGGTCCTTGATCTATTCGAGCCTCTATCGAACCTGTATAATCGGATCGTTAGTTGTTATCTCCAACTCATCCTCACTATCATGAAGGACTCGGAATACCTGCTCGACCATTTCAGCATGCTCATCTCGAGTCGTCACCAAGTCTACCTGAAGCTTCTCACTGAGAAGCTTGTAGGTATCGCATTTCTCAGTGAGGCCCTGGACCTCAACCTTGCACTCCTCTCAGATTCGAAGAAAGGCCTCATGATGCAACACCGAAGCCTACAACAAAGGACGAAAATGTTAGAAATATCTACGATTCAAAGTTATACAGAGATAATGGAATGGCCCTCAAACTTACATGATTCAGAGTGTGTTGGGCCTCGTTGAACAAGCAAGCAACTTCCACTTCATCCATCTTTGCTTGGTCCTCTTCAGTGACCAAGCATCGAATAAAGCTAGCCACCCCTACGGGGGCAGAAAAAACCCGAGCATCCTCTAGGACCGAGATGATAAGTGGCCACTTATGCCTGGGATCAACACTGGGGCCGGGAATTGATTGGTCAGTTTAAAGCTCGAGGAAGCCTCACTCGAGCTCTTCCTCGGTACATCCAAAGTCACCAAGACCGGTGACATCTTCTACCTCAGCAAAATAACCACAAAAAAAATCTTCCTCTCCGTGGGCTCCTTCCCCGTGACAAGTCTCCGCAACCTGAGCATCATGTATCATTGAATCAGAAACTGGAGGGAACGAGGGGGATTCCCCAATCTCTATTGCCCCAAGTGGGTCTTTCGAGGCATCACCTCCATTCTGGGGTGCCTCGAGCCCAGTTTATGCATCAGCTTCGATTGCCTCCTCGGCAATCTTCCCACCTCGAGGTGAAGCATCTTTGGCTTTTTCTGGCTCGGGCTCATCAGGTCGAGGTAAAGCAGTTTCGGCTCCTGCCGACCCAGTGGTTCCTTGAATCTTGGTGCTAGCTCGCACACGAGTCACCAGTCCAAAGTCTTCTTCTTCATCATCTTCATCTTCAGCCTCATCCCTTAGCCGTTGGAAAGACTCCAAAGTTACACGGATGACGTTCCCCTTAGGCTTACGGGGCCTCCTAGCCAGTCTTTTCTTTTCTGGGCCAGGAGAGCTCGGAGCCTCTTTTCTTTTCTTCTCTTTGCCCTACTTCAGGGCAGATGATGAAAGAAGTGCCTCTTTTTCAGCAGAGGAGGGACTCATTGCTACATCCTTCCCGAGGCCTACAAAAAGATAAAAATGAGTAAGTCCAATACAAAGCTCGAATGGAAACCGTTCTAAGGAAAAAAGATTACCATGGTTACGTGCCTCCCATTAACCCTTTGATAACTCTATCCAAGCATTCTCAAAGTAAGACTTTTGCGACACTAAGCCTTCGACCCATTGCCTTAGGTCAGGGATCACTTCCGGCATGATGGCCACAACTACAACACAAAAAACTTAGATGAGGAATGACGATAAGAAGTAAAACGGTAGAGATAGATAATCAAAGGCGAGGCAATACTTACGATTCATGTTCCATTTTTCAGAAAACTGCATGTCCTCGGCAGGGATCAGGTTCGAAGTCTCTATTCCGACAAATCGACCCATCTAACCTTGGTCTCGGGTCTCATCTATGCTCGAGAACAGGGGTTTGGTAACTCGATGGTAAAGCTTGATCAACCCTCCTCCATATAGCCGGGGCCATTGAGACACATAGGATGATCGAGGGTAAAAAGATGCCCCTCGATCTTGTTTACAAAAAATCGGAGGAGGATCACGATCCTCCAGAATGATGGATGGATTTGGCCAAAAATGACATCGTACCTCTTGTAGAAGGCGATGATGATGGGGTCTAAGGGACCTATCGTGAAGGGGTAAGTATAGACACTTAGATACCCCTCCACATGAGTGGTGATAGACTCCCCGGGGGTAGGAACTACTACATCTTTGCCTACCCAGTTGCACTCCTCTTTCACCTTCTTGAAGAGATTGTCGGTAATAGTACATATGTATCTCGGCATCGGTTCGCATCGACCCGGCGTCGAGGGTGTATTCTCCACCTTAAAATTAGCAGCAGTAGGGCACTTTGTAGGAACGAAGTCCTCTAAGGGAGGCTCCGACGCGGATCCGGCACCGACAGACCTTGATGAAAAAGCGGTTTCCTTGTGTGGGTCAGTTTTTGAGGTCTTAGCCATTTTTGTAAATGGAGAAGAATAGAATGGAGGAGGAACGCTGGGATATTTTGCGAAGAAACAAATAAAGATACCCAGGAAACTGAAAACACAAAGATCCGGAGAAAGCAAAGAACTGTGAAGATTAGGATGAAGGAAATTGAAAGTGAAGTTTTAAAGAATAAAGAAGGTGGCTATTTATTGGTTTTGCAACGACGGTCAATACTAGTAGTGGCCGACCAGCAACTGACGCACATTAAATGCCTAGGAAACTGAACCGATGGGACATTTTGGTCACCTCTGCCGCTTGCGTCACAATGCCTACGTCATGGTAAATCGAGGGGAAGTTCGAAGACTCAATTTGTTTCTTATCTTACACTCCAAAAACTGAGGGGACTATCTGTATACGGTCAGAATCAGACTTCCCTAATTTTGTATGGCTAACCGAAACTGGGGTGGCAGACCAAGGCTCGGCCCTGCATTGCATCGAACTATGATACGGAGACGAATTGCTAAGCTCGTGAATCAATGACCGATCAAGATCGAGACCAGCCGTGATCGAGACCAAAGCAGAAAAGAGATCGAGCGAGACCGAAGGAAGCCTGCTAAGTCGAATAATAGAAAGCTGAGATATCCTTGATCGGGTAAGGATTATGGCGGAAATCTCGGCACGTATCGAGTCAGGACTGGTTATTTAGCCAATCATGGGATTTCTTTCCGTATTTAGAATTGTACCATAAGTGAAATTCCTCTACTATATAAAGGGGTCTAATCATTTTATAATCATCATATTCACGCATAAAAAAGCAATACATTACGTTTTCTTTTAAGCTCTGTTGATTAGTTCATATAGCTCAATTGCATACTCATTTGGTTCGAGGGCGATCTAGCTCGAGGGCCATAATCGCTCATTATATTGGTTTTCTTTATTCTATTATTAATTTCTAACATTTTTCTCATATTTCTCAATTTGTGTCAAGTAAAATCACATATCCTTTAAACCACTTATAAGTTTAATTGTTCTCCAATTTTAAGGGTAAACATGTTTATAACTCAAATACAAAGAGAAAATAGGGAGGAAAAATACTCCGTAGATTTTTATTTCTGTTGGGTTTGCGAATAATTGGAAGCTGAAAAAATTAGAAAGCTACATATAAGGTATATGAATCTATTAATGGCGTGATGTCTTTTGAAAAAAAAAAATTACTTGTTTGGCCAAAACTCATAATACCACACCATGTAAGCCCTTCTTTGAGCTGGTTTAATCCAAGACTTTCATTTCTTTCGTCCTTTTGCAGAGCAAAATAGAAAACTAGCCGGTCGTCTTAAATTAATTGCCTTTAATGGTAAAAATATATATAATATGTATATTTTTGTATATAATACACATATATACAAAAAAATTATCGATTATTATTTTTGAGAGAAGCTAAAAATTACATTTCTCTACTTACAAGCTGAAAATAGTACTAGTAGTATTTAAGATGCAAAAGGAAAGATTTAGAATGAGAATCTAAAATGATCCTGCGGTAACCAAATAACTAATGGGGGTATTTTTGAAATTAATAGTGGCTCATTTTAAATATTTTTAACGAAATTACTTTTATATCTTGATACTGCATTATATTTATTTGAGATAGAAAGACTATCAAACCATTCTTGTTTTCATCCAATTTAATTTGATGTTGAATATGATCAGAAAACCGCCCTTTATATATATATTTACTAGTCCCTTGACACACTACCACCGAGAACCTTTGCACAGGGGCTGGTCGAATAAAGAGAATAAATCTGTTAACGCAGTCATTTTTATGTTAATAACTGACTAAATTATTAGAAGATCATTAGTGACTGCATTATGAAAGGAATATAATGAAAGGAGTACAGTATAAAATATATATTAGATAAATTTTGCCAATGTTTTGTTCATTGTGTAAATTAGGATCATTACTAAAATTTAAATTTTTCGAAGCAAATTTCTCATAATGAATTAAAATTATTTAAACCTATGTGTAATAGTACAACTCAAGGTGAATAATATTACCACCTAAAGGATAAATGTACATTAAATAAATAAACAAACAAACAAACAAATAAGGTGGAGGCTCAGTGTTAAGGGTGTGAGTTTTCTGGAAATGGAGGTAATTGGAAAGTAATCCCTTTGGTATCAAATAGTATAACCTTTTTTTTTAGTGTAATTTTATATGCGAATAGTTTAAAATAATTTTTACACAATCAAACTAATTATCTAAAAGATAGCATCTTATTAAATTATTCATAAACTAGTTACATGAAAAATAAAGCAAAACCTGCTATAATCTGTTACTCCTAAATTATATTGCTATTGTAAAATTTGTGTAGGAAACTCTTATATGCGTTAGTCTCGTTGATTTCGTGGGTTCATGCTCAACTTTTCTTACCAAATTAAAAAGTGTAAAAAAAAAATAAAATCATACTGTCAGTATATCACCGTGGGAGTAAAATACTAAATTGATAAAGCAAGATTATACGTTGATCAGCATGGACTAAAAATTGGAAATAGTATAAAGAAGAAGAAAGTTGATCAAACATTACTTGGTTCTCATCAAGATTAATTTCAAGATGATAATTATCCTTCTCATATTTGTGTGGGCACTCTATTTGCTCTCTTCCTTTTGTGGACTCGAAATAGGAAAATGGCCTTAAACCTCTCTGGTGGAGAATAGATAAGGAACCAGCCCTTTGAAGAAAATGTGAAAAGCTTCTTGTTGATCTTGAAATCCAAGTGGCCATTTGTGTTTCTTATGGGAGAAATGAAAAGAAAAGAGCTAGAAAATGGTGTTATATATATAAAGAAAAATACTACACATGCACTACTCCAATATTGTTAAAGGACGAACGAGTTTCCTCTTTGGGAAGTAATAATAACTAAGAGGTGATGAGTTTGGAATTTACAGGGGCTAAATAAAGAAGAGTTGTACTTCTCCACTTGTTTCTCTTATTTGGTTAGTTAATTTTATTTAGGCTTAATAAATAAATACCCTTGATACAAGGTTAAAGAATTTTGTAACATCCAAAGGGCAAGGCAGTCTGGTGCAGAAGGTATTCCGAATTCATGTACGAATCGGAGAAGGACTCCACCTCAAGGGGATTGATAAATAGACAGACTAACCTAATTAAAGCATTAGTGGCTGCTTCCACGATTCGAACCCCTATACAGGTTACACGCAAACAATTTTATCGTTGCTCCAAAGCTCCCCTTCAAATAAATAGAAAGAAAATTTGAGATCCAATCCGGGTATCGAACTCTGGTGGAAAACCAGAACAAAAAAAAAATAGGGAGAAAATGGTTTTAAAATAACTATATGCACTAAAATAAAGTCAAATATAATCAATGTACACTTTGAAAATGTATTTAGCTACATAAAATAGGGAAGGGAAAGGAAAACGGATACGTCATATAACAAATAGGGAAATTGCATATTAAGAATGTGTAATTAACTAATTGTCTGTGCTAAGAAGAAAAAAGTTATCAACATAGATAGCAGAGAGAGAAAAAAATAAATAATGGATTTTAAAAACTCCAATTTATGTTCATGTTAGTGGTTTGGGAAAGATTTAGAGCCATATGATAGGTTTTTCATCCAAAATGATTTGTCAATGATAATCGATTTTAAGCCAAGTAAAAACGGCAGTAAATGAATATTGTGTCGGTCACATGGCTTTTCGTGCTCTTTTTCCTTTTCTTTTTTTGTGTTAAAAATAAGGTTCCAGTTAAGATCTACCAAGAGGGTGCTAGCTCTAAATTACAAGATTGTGGTAATATTAAGATATTGTGGGTTACCTCTAGGGTTAGGGATAATTTTGTCACGACCCAAACCGATAGGTCGTGACGGGCACCAGGTACCTTACTCAATCGAATACCAACGTAACGTATCTTTCATATTATTCTATCATAGGTAAATGAACCGGAGTAAAGTATGAGGGAATACAAACTTATACATATGAAGTACAAATAGACCAAAATAGTCACTCGTGTACTGAACATGAGACGACAAGGCCATACAATCTTTTACGTACCTGATATCTGTCTACAAGACTCTAAGAATACATAATTTTCATAAAAGTCGGAACAGAGTCCCGCCATACCACACAATACACGCCTAAATCATACTAACCACTCAAGCAACTCCGAAGCAAATGGAGCGCACCAACATCTTCCGCTGAGCTGATAGCCTACTTGGAGGGCTCTCGATCTATTTATCGGGACCTGCGGGCATGAAACGCAGTGTCCCCAGGCAAAAGGGACATCAGTACGAATAGTGTACCGAGTATGTAAGATACATAAATAACTACATAACAGACATGGAGGACATAGAGAGTAAATGACTCCACCTGTAAGTCTGGATAACTTTGTAAATCATGAAATAATTATAGTGTCATGCATATGCGTATGAATGTCATGTTGTGCATAGGTACATGTTTCATAACATCATCAGCCTCTGAGGGCATCCTATCATATTATCTCGGCCACTGTGGGCAAAATCATCAACGTATACCAACTAATCTGGTGGTGGTGCGTATATAACGCCATAACATTACCAACTAATCTGGTGGTGGGCGTTATGGAATATCCATGATACAATCTTCTAACAATTCAATCCTTTGTCTATGCCCTGGGCTCAATTCTTTCTTTTAACTTATACCGAAGTCTTCTATGGCTGTATGATTGTCAACAAATATGTTGCATGGATAATGTTCCAAAATCTTGAGTGTATCCATAACGTACTAACTTTGGATCATTGATCGAATAATTCCTTTCGTTCCATCTCAGATTTCTTTAAACGTGTGCAATTACTTTTCCTGGTATTTCTTCCCATTGTTGCGTGCATACTTAACTTATCCTAGTTCCCACACATGCCAGAATTTTTGTACAACTCATATAGTCTCGAATATTACCTTTGATCTTTCTCCCCGTTCATTAGCCATGGTAGGTGCCACTTTATTTTGGAGGACAAACAATTTTTGTTGTGAGACTGCTTTTACATGACCATTTCTCCTTCGAGTTACTATGTTTAGGTTGAAGCCTTCTTCCTTATTTTCACAGCTAGTCTTCCATTGTAGTACTTAGGGAGGACTCTCTGACTCTTGTAAAGCTGTGGGCTTATTACATTGTATACTCGCCGGACCTCCTGATGTCCTTTCTTACCTATACTTATCCGTAGTTACTTACCTCCACGCCTTGGAGCTTGTGGGTTGCTTCTGAACTGATATTTTGATTGTCTTCCCAGTGGCACTCTCTTTTATTTCCGCATCACTCGTACGGTACCTTTTTAACTTCCCCATATAAATATATCTCAAGTATTATAATATCTTACTGTGAGGCTGAATTCCCCATGTTGGGGTCCGTTCACTTTGTTTATCTTGCACGAGCTATTGATTTGTCTGTAACCTCTTGTCTAGTAATGACTAGGCTCTTCCTGAATCAACTACTAACTATTCGTTGGCCTATTCTCATATCCATATTCCGCTTAATCTTTTTTTTGGGTATTTTCTTGTCTTACCTTACTTTACGTACTGGCTCCTTATCTATCAATAACATCCCGTGCAGGAACCCTTACTTCCTTTTGGATAAGTGCAACCTCATCCCTTTCTCATTTTTTTATCGCATTCTTCCTTTATTATTCCATATTCCCCCCTTTATGGGAGTACTAAGACTTGGAGCTATGACGACCTGCCCATAGATATTTTTCCTCTTCATCTTTAGCGTCCTTTCACATCATCCACGACCCTTACTCGTCTTGCGGTAATCCTTCTGTACCAAGGATAACTAAATTCCTCACTCGCGATGGTGACACTTAGTGTAACTGGCACATATAGTCTCTTAAGCTTAACTTTGCTAACATTGCTTGCTTTGGGGAAGCGTCTCCCTGAATGACCATTCTCTAAATTCATCTTGGATCTTCTTCTGTTGTCCGTTCTATTATTGCCGGAATGCAATATGAAATTCTCATGATGCTGACTATTATCAAATCACTCAGTTCCTTGCTCATGTTTAGTTTATCTTATTCACCAGTCCATACTGATTTTTATTACTCTAGGGTCTAACTTTTCCTTTTATTAACATGTTAGAGTCGTAAACTTATTTCTCAAAATGAGGATGTGACTGTATGGCCTATACTCTTTTATTGTCTTAAGGTCCATCACCTTTCGTCCCTTTCTTCATTTAACTATAAGTTCTGTAACACTCTACCATTATCATCCATATATCACACCTTATTCATAATGCTTTTTTATCTCTCTTCTCATTATTTTGCTATTATTTCTGCATATTCCTTTTCTTGTGAAAACTTCAACACGACATTCTTTCGCTTTTAGCTCTCTTTGCTTCATTCATCGGCTCTTCGGGTTACTCAACGTCCTCGCTCTACTAGGGACGAGAGTCACACTAATGCAATATTTATCCCTTCCAGGCTTTCGTTGCCTATCATCTGATTTTTTTATCATGCTAGTATTCACATCTAATTGTAATATTCTAGAGTGCACCATCTGGGTGTCTCATAAGGAGGTTTATTAGCACATTTACAATATCCTTCGTCAATGTCAACTAACGCAAGCAATCCATTTACCAATTTGGGTTACCCTAACCCCAGACAGATCTTGATATCACGTCCTTCTCTTAACTATACCTGTTAGCACCCCACCGGGCATAACTGAAATGGGTGTGACCAATTGTACTTACTTCTTGTTACTGTTGAATATAACTCAAAAAGCATATGTTCCTCTGCCTGAATTATAAACACTGTTAACCTTCATTAACTGGGCGCCTCGTACCCTTCTTCATCTTGCTTCTTTTGCTTGTTCAAACTTGTATTTATCTTCTTAATCTCTCATTGTCTTTCACCTTAAAGGTGGATAGGCATTCTTGCCTTAATGCTTCTTATCAGGAAGCTTATACCTTTCAGTACACCCATGATATGTTAAAGACCTCACATTTACTTATCATAGGTATTATACAAAAATCGAATTCCTCTAACTCAGCTCTTCTACGACTATCTCTCTTTCCAACCTTCTTTCCGGATGTAGGTATCGTCTTATTACGAATAAAATAGAATTCCGGAATTTGAATTCTTATAAGTGAGCTCTACCACACAATTTAGAGTAAGAAGAAAGAGTGACAGTCCTAAATACCCTGTAGCCTCCTGCTTATAAGTGTGGTGCACGACACACCCATAAACAAGACTCTACTAGACACAGCTTGTAGACTCCCTAGGACAGAACTNACCACTTTTGTCACGACCCAAACCGATGGGCCGTGACGGGCACCCGGTACCTTACTCAACTGAGTACCAACGTAACGTATCTTTCATATCATTCTATCATAGGTAAATGAATCGGAGTAAAGTATGATGTAACACAAACTTATACATATGAAATACGGGCCTATAAGACCAAAATAGCCACTCGTGTACTGAACATGAGCCGACAAGGCCATATAATCTTTTACGTACCTGACATCTGTCTACAAGCCTCTAAGAATACATAATTTTCATAAAGGTCGGAACAGAGTCCCGTCATACCAAACAATACACGTCTAAATCATACTAACCACTCAAGCAACTCCGAAGCAAATGGAGAGCACCAACATCTTCCGCTGAGCTGATAGCCTACTTGGAGGGCTCTCGACTTGTCTATCGGAACTTGCGGGCATGAAACGAAGTGTCCCCAGGCAAAAGGGACGTCAGCACGAATAATGTACCGAGTATGTAAGGCACATAAATAACTACATAATAGACATAGAGGACATATAGAGTAAATGACTCCACCTGTAAGTTTAGATAACTTTGTAAATTATGAAATAATTATAG